GAGAGGAAAACGCAGGCCCTCCTCATAGAGGAGCATCCCGCCCCCCCCCCCCCCCCCCCCCCGAAATTTCTCCTTCCTCTCCTCTATCACTCCTCGCGTGGTGCGGTGCAACGTACACACACCCACGAGGCAGACGGCTAAGGGTCTCCTGGTGAACATCACCGGCGGCGAGGACCTGACCCTGTTCGAGGTGGACGAGGCAGCTTCCAGGGTCACCGACGAGGTGGACGACAGCTCGGCCAACATCATCGTGGGGTCTACCTACGACTCCGGGCTCAACGGCGCCATGCGCGTGTCGGTGGTGGCCACGGGTGAGCGCGCGCTCCGCGAGAGAGGAAAAGACAGCGAAGCTACTGCTGCTGTAGTCACGTAAAGTCGTCCCCGCGTTTGTGGACACCGTTGTTTCCAGAAACATGGTGCCCAGCAGAATACAAGGGCAATAGGGGGGTACAAGATGACCGCTTGAATGATTTTGTTTTTTGGAGGAAGGCCAAGGGGTGTCCTAAGAGAGGGGGACAAAAACGAAACTGTCAAGTACAGTCGTCTCCGCTTTAGGGATACCGCTTTCCCGCTTTGTGGACATCATTGTTTTGAGAATCATGGTGCCTGCGGGGACAAAAACGAAAACTGTCAAGTACAGTCCTCCCCTCTTTAGGGGTACCGCTTTCCCGCTTCGTGGACATCATTGTTTTGAGAAACATGGTGCCCCGCAGAATGTAAGAACAACATGGTGGGGGGTACAAGTGCAAGAACGCTTCCCCGCGTTGAAGGACATTTTTTTTAGAGAAAAACCATGGGTATCCTTGAAAACGTGGGGGTGACCGCTGTACCGGTACTCTTGTACATAAAGAAACGTTGTGTGGAGACATGGCATCAAGACCAATTGAAGTGGTAGACAAATTGCTCGCGGAGGGACAGAAAAGCCGATGACTTGAGAGGGTTGTTTTCCGCCCTTGTGCCACCGTTGCTTGGCAAGTGTCCGCCATCGCTTTCTCGAATCGTGACTTCCCGTCGCCCTCCCCCCTTCCCCCTCCTGTCCGTGCAACACGTCCCCTCTCCCACCCCCCTGCCCCCTACGTTCCGTGAAACACAGGTATCGACGGAGACCACTTATAGATGTACTGCTGTGACCGACGGGGGGGGGTATGAACGGCCCATCAGCACGGGGAGCGCGTGGAGATTATTTCTCCGTTCATGATGTAGGGGTAATCCTATTGCAAGCTTTTGAGCTGACGATACACGACCCTTTGCAAAGAAGAACGACCTACTACTGTAGCCTGGGGTGGGAATGGGCTATAGGGCTAAGAAGGAGAGGTGGCGGGGGGAGGGGGCAGGCAGAAGGCACTCTGCCGGTTGTGGATGATCGAAAGACGGGCGGAGCACCCACCGCTCGCTGCTTGCATCCAGGTATACCTTTTGTCGTTGTTCTTGACCCTACTTTTTTTGGTTTCTCCCTGTAGAGAGGAGCACACACCGAAACGTGTTTGACGCGCGCGTACAGCAGAACAGGCTGCAATTGTTTTTGTTGGTGGACCGAACGCGCGTCTTCGCTTGTTGTGTACCATACACCCCACCGGCCGCCCGAAGAGCACGCCACCCCGCTATGACGTTTGTTTTTCTAGTGTTTTTACTTTCCCAAGCAAATGGAAATGTACGAAATGTTTACGCACAGCATGTTTTTTTAGTCTACAGGGTTGAAGTTGTGTAGAGGCGGCTCCGTTTTGCTTTGGAGCCGCCGCCACGCAGTTGGCCCTGTTTGCGTTGCGTCGTGTAGAGTCAAGGGACGTCATGGTTTTGCCCCCAAGAAGGGACCGAGAAAGCGATGGTTTGGCGACCAGGCGACGAAGGACGGTGCACGCTCTTTCTTGCAACCTCGGCGAAAAAAAGGGAAACGCCACAGATATATATGTGGAAGGTGCGCGTGCATGCTTCAACAGTGTCTGAAGAAATCCTTCCGTGCGAGTGTGCAGCTTATTTAGCTTTGTTCGCAAGATGAACGGCGTGTACACGATTGTTTCATCTAAACAAAAAAAAATGCACAGACAAGCGATGACATTGGAAGCGGTTCTGGACTCCGCGAGCAAGCAGTGTCTGCCCGCAGGGATCCTGACTGTTGTCTTCCCGATCCAAAGGCGAAAACGTGTACCACTATACGACAACTATAACATCACAGCGCGCTCATTTTGCCACAAATGGCGCACTAGATTACATGCCTTGAGTACACCCACCCGCTGCTAGACCATCAGCGGAGGCCAGCGCCAAAACACACCCATCTGTTTTTCATCTTGATTGGGTCTGTTGCCCCCCCCCTCAGACCTCTCCTCAGTTGGACACCCTGCGCTCTATTCAGTCATGTAGAGTTGGCACAGTCCCCTCTTAACAGGGCTACTGTCAACGATTACACCCTTCGTGATGCTGCAAAAGGAACGTGTACACATCCCAGGTGAAAGACAAAAAGCAAACTTAAAAAACTACGCCTCCCCTACATCACAAAGATTTTTCCCGTCTACGGCGCCCCCCACCCTACATCCTATATCTAGCTGGTCTTGGTCTTGCTGGGCTGGGCCCGTCTGAGCACGAGGTAAGGCGCCAGGAACACGGTTATCGGCTCTATCGTCCAAGCCACGTCCCCCACAAAGTTGCCCCACCAAGCTGTCGGTCCTGGTTGGAGTCCAAGCCATCGACAGGGAAATTTAGAGGAAGGGGTGTTAGGGGGGACGGGGAGGGACAAGTGAAAATAACACCGGATTTTTGGTTCATTCGCACGCGAGAACACAAGACGATACCAAGGTTTTACGTGGTGGAGCACGGTAACGTTCATGGTTGATATCCCTCAGATTCCGCGGGCCGCCGGGACGGCATGTGGTTTCCTTCCGCATCCATCTATATAAACCTCGCTCACCGGGAGGAAGCCAGGTTGTGAGCAGCGACCGCTGGGGGAAGAAAACGTCGAGAGGGATGGTGCCATAGCCCACGAAAGCCGCCACGTTCAGCGATATCAAGAAGGCGTCGAGAACAGCCTGGTAGAAAATCAGCGATGCGACGCACCACGACACAGGGCGGGAGGCGGGCGTTCGTCGGGAGGGGATGCGGGGTTACAACGCCACGGGAAGAGAGAAAAAAAACGAAAAGGGGGTGCAGTAGAGGTCCCTGTTTAGTGCCGGTATGTGATTTACCGCCACTATACCGGACCAGCACTATTCAAGGTATTGAGAACGGCGTGGAAAATTCGGCACGTGCCCTCCAAAAACGTCGGCACTATTCAACCGGCGCTAAGCAGGGACCTCTACTGTACTTGAAACCGTGTGACCTTTTCCACTTCTACCGTGCCACTTCACCCCTTTCCCCGCGCCTGTTCCTGCTTCTCTTGCCACGAACCCTGCAAGGACCATGCAATTCCGCCTCGCCCGAGACAGCTTTTCACGCACGGCATCCAATAGACACAACACCAGGCACACAGAAATCGAAGAAGAACCTATTCACCTGCTTCTTGGCGGCCTGTCCGATGGCCTGGTTAGTCTTCCAGAGGACTACTCGAGACAGCCTTCTCGATGCTAGACATGCCTTCCATGTGCTCCCTTTGCCGGAGGGGGGGGTGTTTAGTCAGCCATGTTGTTCCACCGGGCGCCCAGCCCATCGCCCGCCGTTGGCGTAAGCGGTGCAGTACATGTTTGAAAAAAAAAAGTTGGTTGGTAGAACGGGGGGGGGGGGGGGGGAGGAAAAAACCCTATCGTCACAGGGATCGACAATGGAAGTGATACCCAAAAACACGGCACGTAATGGTCTACCACGCCCTCTCGTCCCACAAGATCCTTCTACACACCCCGGCTTCCCACACAGCGTTCACTCTAAGCTTACGGCCCGAATCGTATCGGGAATGAAATAAATATTTGCCGATATCTTGCGCTCCCCTGCCTCCCATCTCAACCTCCCCCGGAAATACCGAAAAAGGAATACTTCAATCCTTTTCTCTCAAGGCGAGACTGTAAATCAATTAACAAAATCCCTATCACATTGAGCCGAAGAGACCAACAAGACCATTTCTCGCTCGCCACACTGCCGTGCAAATACACGGGACACACACAATCGTTCGCTCCCACGCTCGCTCACCGCAATGTGGCGACGGTCGGCGGGACTCGTACGTCCGGCTCCCACTTCCCGCCCATGTCGCTCCCCGACCGCGGCGCCACTAACTCCACCACGTCCGCGTCCGGCGGTGCTTCTGCCGGTGGCTTCTGCTGCAGGCGCTGAATGTTTTCAGAGTGTTGCAGAGGTTTATGCATACGAAGAAACAAATTGTGTACACGGGAGAGGGGGAGGGGGGAGACAGATAAATGTAATGGACAATAGTTAAGTATGTACGGTTAGCACGGGCGAGATGTGTACAATATGTGCTTGGTGTGTCGCCCGCCCCGTACAGGCTTCGGTGGCACGAACCGCTTTCTCCCGAATTGAGCGGGGTTTTGGTTGTGTTCCCATCTTGCATCAGCCTGTGGGTGTTTTGCGTTCGCGCGTCCCTCTTTACTCTCAGTACAGTAGTCATGTTTTATTGTGTTTCGGTACAAAGTAGCGCGCCGCCGGGGGGGCAAACACACACACGCACTGGCCTCAACTGCATCCATCAACCAGCATGTGTTTTGCTTTATCGGATTTGTGCCATACGCCTGTGCCGCGTACGCAAAAGCAACCGGTCCAGAGACACCCCTGGGTCCGTGCATAGCCCTGGGCTTGCGTATTTTCGTACCTGAACCTTGTTGCTGATGGCCCACATTCTCAACACGCCTGTTACGCCTATGGTCAATAAAACCTGCGAGCGTACGAAAATCAAGACGCAGAGACCGAAATAACACATCATCGGGGGTGGGGGGCTGGGGGGTGCATCCAAAACTAGTTTTGAAAACGCTGGGACCCTACATAGCGAAACGGATAGGGCGTGCTCGTTTGTGCCCGAACAGATTTGGCACGGTAGACCCCACGGGTAAGTACCGCAGCTGGTGGATGTTTCCGCCTAGCAATAAACTGGACACATGCACGCGGCGCTTGCGCGCGCACTCACCGCAAGGGCAACCTCAAGGATCGCTACCGCGGTAGCCGTGGTCATGATCCCGACAAGCTTCCAGGAAAAGCACGTGAGGCATATCAGCCTGAGCAGGGCACCAAAAAAAAGCGCGGCAAGAACAATGATGATCATCATCGTTTCGCGAGTTAGCAAAAACGTACGCGACGGACGCGAGTTGACGTGCATCTGCTGTCACACCCCTCTTCTGCTTCTATACAATATGTGTGTGTTGTGTCTTCGCTGATTTCGCCTGGCTTCGCCTTGGCTGCCTTGCCTATGTGACGAGCCCAGAACGCTCCATCTAATCTAGTCTTTTCTGCCCTTCTTAGGTGGCTGGATGAAAAATGACTTCCGTTCGCCATACTTTCCCGAATCATACCAATGTTTCGCTGTGTCAATTGTGATCCACCTTCTCTCGCGTGCACCTCCACCTGTGTTATTTACCTTCGCCTGGCACACTGTGTGTGTGCATGGCTGCTGTGTGTCTGTCTGCAACGTTGCCGCTGGGGGGAAGATAAAGCACTATTCGTCTGAAAAACGTGTGTGACGTATATGTCCGCACGGAGACTTACAAGTCCTGGCAAACGGTTGACAACGGGTTTCCTACAACTGCGCCCTGGCACGCACCCAGAAAACACCGCCGCTACAAAACATCTTCTCCGAGGGCATACACCCACGCTTGGAGCAGTCGTTCTTCGCCCAAGATTTTTGGGTGTCAAGGCCAAAGAGAGGTACAACGCACTGCCTAACAGTAAAATAATTGGCGTTGACAGGGTGCACCTTAACGCAAGCTAACATGTGGTGAAGTCGGCTCTCCTACTACACCACCCCGGAACCCACTCATCAGCATTGCTTGAGCATATGGGGGCATGGCCGGCACCACACAGATACAGATCTCCGTTTCCCCGCTCTCTCTTCTCACCCCGTGCCGATGACCAGCTGGCAGATGCCGGCGATTATCCTCCGGTTGTTGGCGGCATCTTGCCGCTTCAGGACGACCGACAGAGCGGCCACTCCCCTCGCCTTACCCTCCACGCCCATGTCGTACTCTGCCAGAGCGTTTCGCCACCTTCATACGCAGAGAACGGCGTCGAAAGCAACGTTAGCATGAAAACAACACCAAGCTGATGAGGATACAAGAAAACTATCGTTGTTGTTGTTGTGGTGGTGGTGGTTGCTACTGTCGTTGTCGGTGTTCTCTTTTGGGTGGCGTTGCACATGTTGATGCATGTACATAGATGTGTAACGTTTCTTCACAGGGAAAACGAACTGCACGAAAAAGCGGTGGCAAAGCAAACGAGAAACAGTTCCGAGAGCGTCTCACCTGACGATGTACTCCGCCATGACGACACCGCCCGCTAAACCCTGAGAGTCCAAAATAGACGACAAAACGACGGTTGGGGGAGAAAATCATGGAGGAGGAGGTACTGTTGTCTACCTCTTGGGGTGGTCATGACCCAAGCGCCCAAGGACAAACGAGTCTTCCGTTGCGCCGGTGTATCCATGGCGTGCGTAAACCTTCCCGTAACACAGGTATCGACGATACCAAAAAACTACAAGGGGGCTATCCGTTCACAAGCCTGAATGACCATCAACATCAACAAACCTTGGCGCCCTTGCAGAGGTTGAAGCCAGCCCCCGCCAGCTGCAGCACGCCTATCAAGCCTTCCAGACCCGTGAACATCTCCAGCTTTCCCGCTCCTCCGCCAGACCAGAACAAGGGGAAGGGGAAGGCCATGAGGGGCTGCATCATGGTGTACTCTGCGGGGAGCAGGCTCTTCAGCACGCAGGCAGCGTTCCGAATAAGCGAGATCCATAGCTCCACCATCCTTCTGCACCGCGTGCTGCTGCTAAGGTCGGGTTTCAGAACCGTCCTTTGGGGCCAGACCAGCGAGTGTGGCCGTGGTGTGGCCTGCGCTGTGCGGCGGACGAACGAAGATGGTGGACAGGGGCCCCGCAGAGCGCAACCAAACCTGATCTCAACTCCGATCGCTTCCACCCACTCCTCTTGCCTCTTATAGTATACCCAACGCGATTCTGAACACTGGAGACCCCTTGGGCGCTGACTGTTATAGTCTCAGCAGCCCCAACGGTTCTTCCTACGTTGAATGCTTGCTGAAAACGACAGCCCGCACACGCACAAACCCTTGAACGGCGGGACTGTCATTTTTTTCATGGTTGCGCCGCATATTGCATGAGGACGCCGGGAACATCCAAACATCACTTGATGGCCGTCTTCGCAGGCGAGTGAGATGTCCTCACCTCTAGCGTTGTATGCTACAGTCATGGCGTTCATCTTCTCTTCTTTCTGCTCGATGTGCAGTACCGCTGCCTCTCTGGGAACTCGTCGCATGTCCACTAAGCGGCGACAATACAACCAAGTATTTTCTGCTGCTTTTCTCTGCAGCAGCAGCAGCAGCAGCAGGGACCTCAGCAAGAGCGTGATCGCCACGAGATCATCACCTGCATGCCGACAGCAAGGACTACACCGCGCTGCCACCACCAACAGCCTCACGCCTTGGGTAGACAGATCACGTCGACAAGTCAGAGCCAGCGCGAAATGCAACAACCTCTTCAGCAGCAGCAGCAGCAGTAGTAGCAGCAGCAGCAGCAGCAGCAGCAGGGTGTCAACAGCACACCCCGGCCCCGCGCCACCTGCGCCACAGCTTTCATCGCCACAACAACAAAGAGCGAGGGCTTCTCCTCGTAATATGGCAGTGCTTGCAGCGCAGGATTACAGCAAGGAAGACCTCGAACGATGTCGGAGTCTGGCGGAGAAGCTGGGGCTGGCGCTAGTAGTGGCAAGGCAGGAACAGGAGTTGGAGGAGGAAGAGGAGCATCAAGGGGAGAGGGGGGAGGGGGAAATGCTGGCTGGAGGTGCTGCCGAAGCAGAACCCGATGGCTTCAAATTTACGATGCTCTTCGATGAGACCGGCCGCTTGGCGCTGGGGCAACCGGGGAGTGGCTTCAACCCACTTGTGGTGAGTCGATTTACCCGGGGTTATTACACAAGCACCCCTGAACGTCCCCAACTCCCGTATGCTATTGCCTACAACTCGTGCAATAGAACACCCAAGTCAATCTGGAGAAACGCCAGGTTTGCAAGACTCAGACTACAGAGAAGAACAAGATTACGTGCAGCTGCTGCGTCCGTGAATCGCATGCTTCTGCGTTGCCGGTTTGCAATGTCCCCCAAAGCATCACGGCTGCGCGTTCTGGTTCCTGCAGTACGTCCTGTGTTCAAATCTGGCAATGCAGCGCTCTTGTGTGTGATTCCTACGGCGTGATACCCTATCCATCGTGCCGAAGCGATAGTGACAGACCTTTCGGACGCTCACCATTCAACACCACGGTTGCACGCCCTAGGTGGACTTCTGCGGAGGTAAGACCGGGTACCGCTCGAAGCACCAGCAAGGAAAGACGGAGCAGGTGGTCAAGGCGGCCGCGCTGCCTAAGCGTCGCGCCGCCACGGCTGCAGCCGACGAGCCTCTCGGACCTCCCTCTCCGGGTGACGATGATGCGAAAGCTCCGTTGCCGCTTCTGTGGGACCTTACCGCCGGCTTGGGGACTGACGCGTTTCTTCTCGCCCAAGCGGGGTGGCGAGTGGAGATGTTTGAGCGGTCCTCGGTGGTTGCAGCTCTAGTGCAGGTACGATCTCATGCGCGGATCTTCCGAACCGTGGGATGCTTGTCGTAGATGATTGGCGGTGCTGGCCCAAAGTTGGCGACGAGGATGGGCCTAGTATCATGCTGCATGGTGTGCATCGCGGCGGCATCGAATGTGGTGATGGTATTCGGCTGGGTTTCTGAGCGCGATGCTCTCTGGGATCTTGGTCTGCTGGTGGACGTTGTACGCATGGACACCCTGACCTGCGGCGGTAACTGTTGCAGACGACATCGAGTGGTAGCGCGCGATGCCGTTCGTATTGAGTTGTATTGCCGGTACTCATGTTCCTCGATCGAAAATGACCGTGGTCTACACGAACAGGATGCTTTGGATCGTGCCCGGGTTGGCGACGACGAGACCGCTCGAAAGGCGGCATCTCGCATGAGCCTCACGGTCGCAGATAGCACCGAGGTCCTGGCAACAGCAGTGGTTGGGTCGTCGTCGTCGTCGTCAGCACCGGTGGCTAGAGCTGCTGTTGGTTTTTCCCGGCCAGATGTGGTTTACCTCGACCCGATGTTCCCCCAGCAGAAGAAAGGCAAGAAGAAGAAATCCGCGCTTGTGAAAAAGGGCATGCAAATGCTGCAGGCATTGCTAGAAGAAGAGGACGGGGCAGAGGGAGAAAAGAGGCAGCAGGGGACAGAGCCAGGAGGTCGTACACCCGACGGTGCCGGGGGTGGTGATGTATCGGGAGAAGGAGAAGCAGGGGCGGTGGAAGGCCAAGAAGAAGAAAGAAGGTTGTTCGATATTGCCATGGAGTTCGCGACGCGGAAGGTGGTGGTGAAACGACCGGTTCACGGTCCGTCTATCGTGCGGCACGTACAACCCTCGCACGCCGTCGTGAGCAAGAATGGCCGTTTCGACGTCTACGTTGTGCCTCCATAGCGCAAGGAACGGAAGTCCATGTATGCTGTACTGATGGACTCTTTAGAGCCAATCAACACAGGGCATGAGCGTTGCGGAAGAAATTATTTTGGGGCATCCTTGGGGGAAGTTCAATATTTCCGTGTGAATCCCGCCGAGTTTGTCACGTTGAGTTGAAAGAACATACGTTTGGATGAGAGAAACCGCGACGGGCGGGGGGATATCTAGACCTAAAACGTATGCAGTTCTTTCAGCGCTACCGTGTGGTACAAGCAACTTTGTGCAGGAGCACCGTGGTGCGGTGGGTGCGTCCAGCTCGAGATTTCAAACCCATGCTACAGCTGCAACGGTTGGTGTGCAATTTGCTTGTGGGAACAAAGAACATGAAGACTGCCCGTGTGCTGTTGCTTCGACAGCAGTAGCCGATCCTCGGCAAGCTTCGACCGCAGCCATTGAAGAGGCCCCATTTCCGTCGGCTGCTACCGAACCGTTCGCTGTTGCCGACCAACTACTGGTGTTGAAGTTACGTTGTGTCTTCTCATTCGTCGGGGCGCAATGGAGAGAGTAGAGTGAACGGCCTCCATCGTCTCCGATCCGATCCTTTCTCCTCCATATATATATTTCTTTCGGCGAACGTGCCCGCCAACAAATACTATCGCGCCGGCAAGTCGCATGCCCAAAAACTCGAGGCTCCCATGCACCATAGCTTCGGAACGGCCCCAGCTCCGCTCTGCCACCTTGTCACCACCGTGCCCCACCGATCGTCGAATCCATCACTTGTTGCATACTCTCGCCCATTTGTTACGCAAGGCGCAGAACCTAGATGAAGATATATCTCCCCCCACGAACTGCCGCTGTTTCGTTGTCTTGGCAGCACCGCTTCCCGTTGTCTAACTTACAACCTCCAGTAGACCACACGCTACTGTCGCACCTCCCACCCATTTCGCCGGGGATCTCCGCTGTGCGACTGTTTCGCCTCGGCTTGTTATGGACGGAGGTCTTAGCGCCCTCACGGCAGTCAAACGTCTATGGAATTCCGTCATGCTGCCACTGCCTCAGGATTAGCCGCGTCTCTCTCCGTTGGCTTGACCATGTCTCCGTCGATCTTGCTGACTTGGGGAATGTGTCGCAACACTTCTATTCTGGCGTCTTCCTTGGACATGCCTTCGTAAATGGGGTTCCCCATGAACAGCACATCCGTCAGCTCCTCCAAGCCCGTCTGATGGAAGCGAGAAAAAAGCGAAAGGAATTAACCAGTTACTATTGCTTGTTTAGCACACCCGAGGGTGGTTGTGTAGTTGATTGATGGAATATCTTCTGCGTTGAGCTCTCTTGCCCAGATCGATCCCAAAAGTAACGGCTCTCTCTACAAGTCGACTATCATCCACTATCGCACAAAATCTATAATAGCCACGACAAATCATAAGTAAGATTCCGTAATAATAAAAGAGGGGCTATCGGAACTGCCATCCGATTTGCAGTCACGAAATCCCTTTCCCAAAGCGAAAAATTGCACACAGCAAGCGAACCTCCTTTCACTCCAAATACCAGGAACCACACACACCGCACAAATAACAGCTCTGACCGGGGCAGCACGTTTTTGATTAATCGCCGCATCAGCTCTAGTGGTCGTTGTCTCTGCTCTCTCTCGCGCACGCGACATCGGGTTGATCACATTCGCAAGGATACTCCTTATCTTCGACCATGACTACGACATGGTGCCCCCAAGTTCTTCACCGTCATCCAATCCCACGTGGCCATTGATTGCGGTCCCGGGAACCGTAACCAATGACCACGTGGGGATAGAAGAACGTCGGGGCACCATGTCATAGTCATGGTGAAGACGAGGATATACTGTATGTACCCGTCGGTGGTATTTTCCGTTTGGATTATACCACAGTGGGTACGCCATTGGTTCTGGAAAGAACATCAGCCCCACATCAGGGAGATTAGGCATCGTGAATGGTACTGTGTGTACCCCTGCGCATATTTGCAAGAATTCGTGCCTTTGTGGTGGGTTGTCTCTTTGTCTCTTCGCTGGACTCTACGCATGTTTTTTTCTCATGCGAGGCGCACCGGGATCTTTCGACACACAAGGTTATTGGAACTGCAAACTAAACGATATGGATATGACCTCACATAGACTTATACCGTACGATCCTTGCTCACCAATTTGTCCAGTTCCGCCCAACTCTTGACGCTGTTGTTGGACATGTACAATCGCGTCAGGTTTGACAGGTTGGAGAGCCCATCCAAGGTGGTGACCTGGTTGTACGAGATCCACAGCTCCTCCAACGATTCCGCAACATCGTCGAGCTTTTCAATCTAAGAAACAGGTCCAGCATAGAGTCAGAGTCACCGTGCAATACTGACTTAAGGAGTTCTCTATTTTTGGTTGTTCGATCGCAACGAAGAGAGATGTGGATGTATCTTGGTAACTTGAACATTCGCTCGTGACCGTTTACAACACAGCACCGGCAAGCTCTACTTCTGGCAGGCAGTGCGAATGCAAAACAGTCGGCAGAAACAAGCATGCGATTCCGGAGCGACACCCGCGTGTCTCGAAACGTGCCCACCTTCTTGATACAGTTGCGCCCCAACGACAAGATCTTTAGCTTCTTCATTCCCGCCAAAGGAATGATGCGATCGATGCAATTTGTAGACAGCGATAATTGCCTGCCGTACCAGACAAGCGGGAAGGGAATGTTCGGCAGCAGAGAAAACATGTGTCAACGGAAAGAAGAGTGGCACTCGAATGCATGGCCCAAAGACACCTAAGCAGGGTTGGCAACATCAGCCGGGTGGGTGATTTGACGAGTTCTTCGTGCGGGAAATCACTTCAAGGCGTGATTCGCATACATGTATGTCTAGAGTGTTTGGTGGGGCGGCAGCTTGTGATCGACAATCTTGCGCATGGCCTCTATTCGCCGAGCGAAACTGCAGCTAGCTGTAAATATCGCTAGAGGGTATCCTGGAATACTGATTTCCCAGGCTGACCCACGTCGGCTTGATTGCGACCAGAGCTTGCAGAGAGTACCCAGCAACAGCGATAAAAGCTTGGCCAGCTCCAATGCCCAACTAACATAGCAGTGCATCACTGTAGACTACCTACAGTTTGTGGTGCCCACGACATGACATCACAGCAGCGTACACAGTAGAAGATCATGCTATGGCTGCAAACTAAACGCACGTGTAGCACTGACGCTATTCTCGTTTTTCCTGCAACTCCAACTCTGAAGCTCCAAGCCCCAAAGTGTACTAGCAGTAGGGTGAACTGCGCACAGTCCTATAATACAGTACCTTAATTCGACCTGAGACGACAACCGTTCAAAATGTCGTCGCGTCTGCTACAACAGTTTATGCAACTGTTTCGTTCTGAGATGCTCCAACACTCACTCGCAGTTCTTGAGGGAGTTCAGGGAGTTGTCAAGCTTGGCGATAGGAGGCATCTGGCAATACAGCTTCACTACGGTGGCTTCCTCAGCTGAGGCCTCATTCTTCGCCTCCCAGTTCTTGATCGCTTGAGAGCAAGTCGTCTGTTGTTATCGTGGTGCAGTTCATTGTCGCGAATGCAAATATTGAGCTTCGTGAGCATGAGCGCGGCGCAATTACAGCAAGATACGATCTGACGGTGCGATAGTCGGGAAATATGAGAGAGGTTGGTTAGCGTCAACGAAGATCCTCCAGGATTACCAGGGGCAACAGGTAGACTAACCTTATCGCACGTCTTACCATTGTTCGTGAGGTGTGAAGTAACTGAGTGGGTGCGACTCCCGGGCAGGGCGCCGACCCGCAAACACGAACCGACGGGTGGCGGTTACACGTGCGAGGAGGCGTTTGGGTTCCGAACCAGTTCCAAATTTCCACACGCGGCACGCGGCACGCGGCACATCACGCGCACGCATGCTGCTTTGCACTCTTGCACACACGCTGCTGTGTATAACGGTGAAGATAGTCTCGGAGGCGTCGGGGAGTTGCTCCACCAGCGTTGAGCTCGTCAGAACGATAATGTTCACACCAAATGTGTGCGACCGGACTGGACACCGCCGAGACGATGCACATTCCGCATGCATGCGCGGATGTGCCCAACAGTTTCCGAGCTCTCGTATATGTGGAGCTCAACTCTGCGGGCGTCCATCGGCAACACGTCCCTTGTGCGCGAACGTGTCATTCTGCAGCAGGTGGAGATAGCATCGATCACGCTACATCACGCTACATCCGGCTAATCAATAATGAGACATCCCCGCCGACAAGAAGATATACAACTCGCCTGTAGACTGCGCCCCCCCCCGGATAGGCGGGCCGTTCTCCGCTCGTTATACAGACTGGTGGTTTCAGCCTCAGATTTCGAACCCCTCTGGACAAAGGAAGCCGAGTACTTGCATGCAATAGACAATAATCCGTGTGTGGTACTTGCGGGTGTTTGTCACACGATCCTGTCCGTGTGGAATGCGGTAGGTTGCCTCGCCCGGCTCCTCCACAACGAAAACGTCCACGCTGCTGCTAGAGTGTTCGGGGTTCGGCGCTACCATGATGAAGGAGCCCCTCTGCGCTGAGTCGCCTCGATTTGATGTACACTACTGTAGATTGGCTGAATGTCTGAACTGTACATGTCTAGACTACTCTATTAGTCTGAGCCTCCTTCAAGGCAAGGGCTCAGAGTGGTGGCCCAGGCGGCTTAGGTGCACGAAGGCGTCCGTCCCGTATCCTTCCATGGACACGATACTCAGGTCCCCGCCGAAGTAACGAGCGTAGCTCCGGCTGATGGGCAAGCCGTACCTGAATCCAAAGACGATATACATACATCATAGGGAGAGGGCGAAACCGAGAGCACGTAGATCGTGGGCCGACGGTGTTAGAATGTGACTTTTCTGTCTATAACCCACCTTGGCTGCCTTTCTCTTTCACCCAACAACAACTCCCCCTCTTTCTGTCCTATCGGCCATCAACTCACCCAAGACCGGCGAGCGGAGACTCCTTGGCGTGATCACTCTCGACCTCCCCGAGGTTAATGAATCCCTCCTGGACCGCAGGGTCGGCCGTGGTGAAGAGGTAGCTCCAGATGCGTGTCATGTACGAGCGCCGGATGCCCCCGCCCTCATCCGCCACCTTTATCACTACGTCCTGCGAATTGTTCACCAAAACACGGAAACAGGGCATCGCGTTGCCGTTGGTGATACAAAATTTCAATTTGCCACCTCTGATACCGCATCTGTGCGTGTAAGACCAGCGCCCAGCGCATAAAAAATTGGACAGACACAATGAGCCGAGGGAGGCCTATTCCAGGATTTCGCCTCGCCGCCAAATTGCTACCTATATACGCGATAGGTTCCCGATGGCGTTTTGTCGCCGCCAAATTTCTACCTACATACGCGATGGAATTCCGATGGCGCAATACGCACGCCTGGAAGGCGTTCTCTGACGCGGCGCAACACCGACCTCGTTCCCTTCCCCGTCGGCGATGACGACGCGGATGGGGTTGTTGTCCATTTCGTCAAGCCCGTGGAAGTCCACCGTCGCCCTCATGGAGTTCTTGATCAGTTCGAGCATGATGTAGTGGAGGTGCGACGGCACGTCTGCGTTCAAAACAGGAAACCCCGAATTGGAAACCCACGAACCGTTGCCGTGCAACGTAAGTCAATTGGGCGTACAAACGTAGGCGCAGAGAGAACCAGACTCACGAGACAAGTTGCCGCAGCGGGCGCGCATAGTCCGCCTTTGAAGCCCAGCAAGTTTCTTCGTCTTACTAGCGGGTGTAGACAGTTGGTGGTGACTGCTGTGATGGTGTGACACTCTCGAGACTAAACACGTTCCAGCCCGTGAGAGCTAAGTAGGCGTGCACAGCACTACAAACACCGCCTACAGGTGGGCGAAACGAAGTCGGCATTGTGGTTGGCCGCCTGCCCGGGAGGGAAAATCTACCACACAAAGGAAACTAAAAATGGCCAAACAAAAGCACCCCACAAGAAAGATCAGAAGGCATGTGACTCTCACGAAAAGCAGAAGGAGTTCGCATCGAGTTGAAACAGCACGCACCATCCCCTTCACACGGAGTATCGCCATCTATATCATAGACGAACACAACTCACAGGAAAAGGTGAGGTCTAGCCTGCCGTGGAGGGTCACGTCCGGAGCGTCGCCGTACTGCCGGGTGCACACGAACTTGGCGTCCTCGATGGCAGCCTCGGCGATGGCCGCGGGCGACGTCTCCTGGCACACCATGCCGATCCAGCTGTCTGCCCCCGCTTCCTGTTGTTAGTCGCCGGGGAAATGGCGAGCGGCCGAAAGAAGGGTGGCGCAGTCACGCGTTTGTTGTCATGGTGGCGTTATTATGTTTTGGACCAGCGTTTTCGGTGTTGGACGGGGTGTGTGGGGGGGGGGGATCCGGGCGAGGGGGCTTGCGCGGGGGAAGCGAGGAGACAGAAAGAAACAGGTACACGGAAAAGACACGTGTTGCTCTGTCTGTTACTCCCAACAAAATATCCGTCGAATCAGACGCCTCGACCTCACTCGTTACTGAAAAATAGATTTGTTGCCGTCTTGGTTGCAACTGCCGGTTGTCGTGTATGGACAGATAACAACAACGCCAGTCAACCTACGCCGGGCCAGAGTCAAAACTATCTTGGTAGCTCGTGGTCAAGGCGCCGGGGAGGCTCTTCAAAACCTCGCACGAGTAAATCAATTTCGTACTTCGCTGCTACTATCAGTGGTGTTCCTGCACTACTCTACAACACACCAAGAAATATTGAGGTGTGCGGCTTGTTCGCGAGGAGAAGTTACACAAACACCTCGGTTATTACCACCGCGGTGGAGCTACCGTCACCTGCAGCGCGAGGTAGTGGCCGATGAGAATACGGATGCCGATCCGGCTCATGTAGAACCCGTCCAGGAAGGTGTGGGTCTGCACATTACCACACCAAACCACAGCAAGACACAGGCACATCTTCACGATTTTATTGAGGGAGGTTATTCAGAAAGCCAAATTTTTTCTAGGTTGGATACTTTTGGGGAGTGGACAGCTCGTCGGGGGCATGGCGGGAAGCGGGAGGTTGTTCCGAGCTGGCGCGAGAAAATAACAAGCTGGAAGCTGTCTGCGCCAAACTGGCCACCGAACTACCAACGCCCGTTGGCCACGCTCCTACCACTACCACACGCGCTGGCGTACTAGTCTCCAGCGTTTTCGTTTTGGTGCTTTGATTGGTCCGTTGCCTCTGTCTTACGGTCTCTAACCCCAAGACAGCAGCCATAAGTGCGGCATATTGCAGAGGCTGCTACATTTGGCCGTGTCTCGAGTCGTTTATCGTGAACATATCTCCCCATGTGCAGCAGCGGTACAGAATCATAGGCCCTGCCAGGTTGTACGCACCCGCTCGAAGTCGTAAAAGTCGCCGAAGCGGTTCTTGGCCCCCCTTCGGCTTGCGTCCTTCGGACCGAACGACTCGCGCAGCTCCCAGACCCCCCTCGCCATCGTGAGAAGCACGGGCGCATGCCTCTGGTAGATGCCCTGTGTGAAGTTGTGAACAAATGAGAGTGTATCATGAGCCACAGGGGATCACCAGATTGCTACATGACGAGATGGGCAGTTAGTCAGCAAGCAGCCACGGAGGTGGATGCACAGGCCGGTGCGCGCCCCTTGGAGGATGGCCTCGATCTTTAAACGCGAGACGAGAAGGACCACGCAAGATCATTATTCAGAGATCAGACACCACAACTAAAAGGACGAGCAAATAGAACAAAACAACAAACAATACATGGCATCGCGACAAAAAATACCCCTAAGTGAAGTGTCCCTACCGCATTAAATCCGACGATATTGCTGTACGCACATGATACCGGCAGTGTGGAAATGTGTTCGCGTCGTGTTTCCGGCAACAAGCCTGATTTCGATGCTATCATAGTAAAATCGTAAAATCGTTGCGCAACACATGGTCATCACCTTCAAGAGCTCCGCGAACCGAACCTCCTCGTCGACGGTAACTGGACGGGGGAACTTCCGAATCTCCTCGTACGAAATAACGTACCACTCTCGAACCTGGCCACCGGAGATGCACCGGAGGGAGGGAGAGAACGAGAGAGAGAGAGAGAGAGAGAGAGAGAGAGAGAGAGAAAGAGAGAAAGAGAGAGAGAGAGAGATAGAGAGAGAGAGAGAGAAAGAGGATCAGACACGAGCCGGAAAAAAAATGTGGGGCACGATGACTGAATGTTGATGTCGAGGCCAAACTCAGAACAAGCGAACACAACCGCAGCAACGACAATAGCGGCGAGGACATGAGCAACAACAATCGTCAACGACGTCGCACGTTTGGGGGGTATCGATTGCTCACTTAATCGATTCAATAACAACATAAAACGCAGAGCGGCTCTTTCGAGCACATGTGAAATCGGTCGTGTCCCCAGCAGAGTGCCGCCGCTCGACTAGTCGTTCACTCCAACGCATTTCCGTTTCGACCACCGCGCTGCTCTTGTCATTTTGTCGCCTCTTTTGAAGGCACAGTCGCTCCAATCAAAGACAATCGCTTCGCGCCGCCGACATCAATAACAACAAAGACATACACCTCTTGACGTCTAGGGCAGTTGTTCTATTTCTCCCTCTCCCGAAGCTCTTGGTGCATAAAAGTAGCCCGCGAGCGACCGAACAGATGCGTACTTAGCTGTGATACGCGTTTGATTACTCCAGTGATCATACGTGTGCTTGCTTTAGTTGTGCCCGTGCGTTGAAGAGTCAAACGTCGAAAACACGCATGCTGCACCGCACCCTTTTTCGACCCCACCCTTTGGAGAACTTAAAACACGGCGCATACGCATAGCGACGCGCGGAAACGCGACATCAGGGAAAAGGCCAAGCACTCGATGCAGCACTGAACACTTCACCAGTAGCAAAATACAAAATACTAACGCTACTCTGTGGACGGACAAACCGGGCAACATGCAACTTTTCTCCAACCAAGACAGGTAATGGAACTGAGAAATTACACGTTGGAAAACAGCTCTCTCTCGCCTGCTGCACCGACTTCTGCGCGAGCATGTCGGGAACGGACTCCAAGTCACGCACGCGATGAGCCAGGCGGATGGGGAGCTCCCTGTGCAAGAAAGACGCCACCTGTAGAATATCAACATCATCGGTAGGGGCACGTCCATGTCCACATCACTTCGGAGCAAACTTTAACAGAAGCCGAAATCAAACCATTAGACTTGTTTGGAGCCGGCTGCTATAGGCCACACACTCCTTCGCCGTGGCTGAGACGTGGCGGTCATCACATGGCGAGGCAAAAGAAGACGAGATGGAAACGTTACCGTTGAGAGTTTAACTATTGTACTACGCTGTCGGGTCGAGGATTGTCTTGCTCTGCCTTTCGTTGCGCACGTTTACGTCCAAAACAATCGCGGCACACGACATGTTCTTCCATGAAATAAACTTATCCCGACTTGTTCCTGCAAAAGCGCTTCGATTAGCAGCTGGTCGATGTGCGCTTACCTTCCTGTTGTCCGGCAACAAGGAATCCGGAAAACTGGTGACACTACTTGTGGCGGTGGTGGTTGGCTACGACCGTCGTAGTTCCCGAAGGGCTACAATCGCTGCCCACCTCTTTCACTTCTTGGGCATGTCGTCGACGTGCATATGTAGATCCTACGTCTACCTTTGCTGGCACCGTCCTCTAGCGTGTGCGGAAAAAAAAAGTGGCTCATCAAAAACAAACCTGCTCTGACGTCCGCCCGAACTTCCCTAATCACACACAACTGAAGTCACGCTCAGTACGAAGGTCTCGCAAAAGTGGGTAGATTTTTGTGGATCATTCGTCTACGGCAACCCAGATGCATGATACCGAAATTGCCCTCTGGTATACAGCACAACCTCGGGGGAAACACGCTCAACTCACGCCTGTGTTCGACTAAAAAAGACCACCAGCCCAGTATTCTCACCCCGAATGTTGTGCAGCACGAGCTGCAGCCAGCGAATACAGCTCCAGATGCAGCCAGGGAACTTTTACAAACTGCCATACACGCATAGCATGTATGCCAAGGTGGTACTCCGTTGTACAAGTGGTTGCACATGCTGCCGACATCCTTCATGATCTAGGAAAGCAGCGCCTGGTTCGGCTCACCTGTATCAGCATTTTTTGCTTGGTGGAGAGGCTGTCCTGCCCGGTGAGGCCCATTTCCCCCGACAACAGATCGCCCCTCCCGGTGTCGATCAGGGTCTTCAGGCTCACCCTGACATACGAGGGCCACAGGCACGCATTCCAGCAGTCAAGGCACAATTATCCGACGAAAGAGTTGGTACAGCAGTGGAAGGTAATCGATGCAACAAATCCTGGAGCATGTGCCGTTGATGCGCTGTTGTACGGCCTTGTGTTTGTCCGAATGGGCCATCTCTCGAGAAAGGTACAGTGGCGCACCGACCCTTTGTCTTTCCGCTGCGGTGGCAGCTGGGTTGCGAAAGCTGCACTGCCTTGGGTTGTTGCAGATGCCTCCAAATATTGCCAGAGGCAAAAACGGCGCCTGGTCTCCTATTTGCTGGGAGAGGGCGAGCGTTGGCATATCGCTGTTCCACATGCCCAATCGTATGCATATCTCGCGATTGGTCAAGGGCACCCTTCTCTCTGGTTGTTCCTCGACATCGTCAGCCAAACACAAATAGACAAGAGAGTGAACGTCAATGCATTCACATCTTCGGCATATCTACAACCGAGACCCTACTTGGCCCTAGACTACCGTATATGACACAAGATAAAACACCTACATAAGAAAGCACACCCCCCACAGAAAACGACACCCCGGTGATAGTTTTGGGCGCTTCTGACAAACCATCGATTTATCACCGGGGGTACATAAGATAACACACCCCGGTGATATTTTTAGTTACGCCGCACATAGTCACGGGGCCCCTCCTTCTTTATCACCGGGGTGACAGCATCTGCCCTGGGCAATCACACACACAACCACGTCAGCTGTGTGCGGGGAAACACCCCGCATGGAGAACCCCAACAACATGAACGTGCAGGCAGAGCAGAATGCAGCCGCAAGTACCAAGTAAACGTTTTTGTGAGGGTGGCAGGAAGGATGGCGCACGCAGTCTGTGCCCACCGCCAATCATCGTATCGGTCGAGGTACCTTCGATTTTTACTTTTTTCTTGCTCGATTCAACCCGTATTTTGTTTCAAACTTTTTTTGGCGATGAGAGCGTTGAGTTATCGCCGAGGTCATGTGCTCAGGAGTTTCGCCACCTCGGTTGAGCTCCTTTGTTTTTCCACGTCCCTTTAGGTAGGTCCCTACACTGCACGTGTACGTGCAGGATGGCTATCACACCCCCTTTTATCGCACCCCCTCATTTACCACACCCCAAAGCACACGCTGTGGCTGCTGTTCGGACGTGCTATCACACCCCCTTTTATCACACACCCCAACACACGCTGTGGGTGTTCGGACGCGCTATCACACCCCCTGTTTTATCACACCCCCGTAGGGGCCCCTGCGAGCTGCACTTTATCACCCGGGGTACACAAGATAGCACCCCCCCCACAGGATACCACACCCGGTGATAATATTTTCAAACTCCACAATGTTATCACCGGGGTGTGTTTTCTTGTGTCATATACGGTACATATATACCGTATATGACACAAGATAACACGCCCTCTGGCCCGATTTTCAAAGCTCGATTACTCGATGACGAAGAGGAGACATGGACGAAATGATACATTTTCGAAAAGCTCTCAACGAGACTGTTCTAACGCCGCCGTTTTCGGCGCTGTGAGTTTTCCTGCTGTTGAGAAATCGAGCTTTGAAAATCGGCCAAGGGGGTGTGTTATCTTGTGTCATATACGGTATGTACACGACCAGCCGAAGCCTTCCGTGGAAGAAAACGGGAAAGGAGGGAATCGGCGATGCTGCCAGACGGGGGAACTGACGAGATGTTGCAGAAAGATCCAACCAGCTTTATTCTTGTTGTCCAGCATTCTCTCCTTCTAGCTACTCTCGTCGTTGTCGCTGTACGAGAGAGAGTTCGACAACTCCCCTTTCACTATCACTTGAAGTTACCGATGACGAAAGACCCTCGCGGAGGGTTAGCACACTACTGCTGTACTTCAAACAGTATATATATACATGAGCGATAAGTTCAAATCAAATCCAACCTACCAGTATTTCTGCTGACCGTTGCATGGGCATAGCGAAAGCTGGTGACAAGCCTAAGCTTTAGACACAAGTTGGGCAGCGAAAACGAAAAACGATTCTGCTGTACAGCAGCAATAGTCTCGGCGTCTCGACGCAACTGCAACGTGTTGGAAAATGCGGTGTAACCACAGACCCTTGACATCGGCTCACCCTGTCTGTTTGCGAGCTGCGCTCTCCATGATGTCATCGTGCAACGCGGTTCCAGGGCCAGCCATGAGAGAGCTATAGTCTACATCTCCTCCCCGTGAAGATAGCTGGCGCCGGGATACGTTGCAGGTGGCGACGTTGCTTACCCAAGCAGCATTTGCAGTCCCAGCGTCTGAGCCCTTTCGAGTGAGCGGGGTCACTCCCGGACTACTAGTGCTCCTGCCACTACGCAGCCGCGGAGCGACCGAACAAGCCGTCGCCGATGCTGCCCTCGTGCCCAAGAGTGATGCCGCTGCTCGCGAGAGCGTGGCCCTCCCGCCGCAGGCTAGAGCCATGTGCTTGTCGCAGCCTATAGCCAAAGGATGTGTTGAGCAGGTACGGGTAAACCCGCTGGACTGCGCTTCCGCAGAGGAAATCTGCGCGCGCTGAAAATGCACAACAGTACCTCGCCGCACCACCAGACTCAGCAAGAGGAAGACAGCCAGACTCAGCAGTAGACAGTAGTTCAGGCCAGCAAGAGTGCAAAGTTTGGAGGGAAACCAAAGGATGAGAGGGGTTTCCTTCATGGTGACGCTGGGTCTATTGCTTACGGCTACCACCGACGGGATGAGCAGCAAGAAGAAACGGAGGAAGGTCGGTTGAGGTGTACACGGTACATTGGTTGTTTTTGTTGTCGTGGTCTTTTTTTTTATCAATCCCGATCTCTCTACAGCAGTACCCACAGTCAGCTGTACCCAGTACCTTCATCTCTCCGCATACTATTTAGTCTAACACTTGACGCTATCAATACCCGTGGTCACAGGCTAACTTACCCAAGAAGCCAAAAAGGTATAATAAAAATGAACCCGAGGGTCCGCAAGTCATGAACGAAAGATAGCTACGTAGTGTACTGCTGTAGGACCCTCCTCTCGCCTCTAGAGGCTATGCGAGGTAATCAAAGACTGGAAGTCAACATCACGGGCCAGAGGGGTAGGTATAGTCCCTGGTTCAATCGTGGTACTTCGCAGAAGAAAATGGGGCTGCGAATTGTTCCTCTGGCATTTATGTAGATAAACGCCTTTCGACATACCATGGTAGTATGTTGTTTACCCGCACCTACCTGCGGAGTTATCTGCAACCTCCGTCTGTGTGCCTTGGCGTCATTCCAGACGTTTGATCAGAGAAGAAGTAAAGCTTCTATTCGTCAGAGGTGGCTTGATCGTACTGCTTGATATCGGCCACAATGCTGTATCTGTACATACATAGTCTTCTAAACTGCTGTACTTCAAGTACTTCCATCGTACACTCTTATGACGTAGAAGTGAACAAGAGCGCGCTTCGAATCACCGGTTGAGCAGCATCGCCCAGGTGGAAACCCCGGATAAGTAGGTTTACGCATGCGCGTGCGAATCTGCCTCCACTTCGCGACGATCTACCGAGAACACAAGCCAAGGGCAATGAGCTGATGGTATCTCTTATCCGTTGATGTAGTATGCATACAAGCACTTCTACGTATAATTGTTTCTGGTTTGGAGGAACGCAGTGTAGTAGTTCCCTCTCGCTTTGCTGGATCCTGCTCAGGGTTTTAACATGCTCTGGCTATCCCGACTCTTTTCGCAGCACCGCTACATAGCTGCGCGAGAGATAGACACGCTAGAGTTGTGCACACAAAATGCAATGCTGGTCTCAATCTTGTGTGGCTTCGAACCACCGAGGTGCTTTCAGCGCATGAGAACCAACCACGACGCGCCCACCGCGGACGAAACTTGACCCTAAAGCTAAAGACACATAATGCCGAAAAAGCTCCGTGCGGCGCACGTTGTGTTTTAGCGCCCGCCGGTAGGTCTCTCCGCCTTTCGACCTTGCATCACGGTGCCTCGAGCAAACACTCACGCCCCGAGCGTGTGGTCCGCTGGCACTCCAACTTGATTGTTTGTTGTCGCAACCTTGGCCTGTTATTCTTGACAGGCTTTTCGTAGCAGCCAACCACATCTGTGCACGCCGGCTGCATGCCTCTAAAAGAGGTGCCAGAAACACTCCGTCGAACATCCGCATGAACTCGTCCCAATCAACAGTGCGTGTCACACCCAGCGCGTTTGTTCGAGCCTTTTTGAAGCAGTGCCTTGAACGACAAAACTGCCATACTTCGGCCAGAGGAGCCGTCTACGACCGCTACGGGCTCCTCTTCACTTTTCGTTGCTGCCTGCTTTGCTCTCTTAAGAGGAGTTTAAATTAAGAACGTCAAGCACTCTGCTGTTACCACGCCTGGCACACCTGCCCCCGCTTCGCGCGGAATACCGCCCCTACCCACCCGCCCCGCCGCCCTCCCGTCCCTGCATTGGGGCCGAACAACCGCTGTTTTTTCATGGATGCAGGGTAGGATTTCGGTGTACGACCGTAAGCGTGAGTGCGAGACGGAAACGTGCGGCCACCTGGTGCCGCTGGAGGCCAAGAACTGCGTTCACGAGTGCGTGTCGCCTGATTGCTATCGGAAAACATACGCAGAGCCGGTAAGAGAGGCGAGATGTGCCAACAGGCAAATAAGGCGAGAGCTTGAGTTGGGTGAGGGGTTGATCACCGCGGTAACGATCGATTGGCGGTGTCAACACACATGTCCTATGTTCAGTGGTGGATTGACTTGTCCTGTGCAGAGAGAAGCAGAGGGTTGGGTATGGGGGAGAGAGGCAAGAGTGCGAACACATCTAGCGGAACTCTACACGCGTTGTGGAGTTGAAGACGGACGGCAAGCTCTATCGCAATATTGCCCACCGCACAGACTTCGTGATGCACTATAGTAGGAGGGTCCGGCCGTACGGGCACTTATACTTTGGCGACAGGCCCCGCCCCACGTACGTCGGTGTTTAGCGAGCTGCTACACGTGCTCTTGTGTGGTGATTCCCTCCAGCGTCTCATCTTCTCAACCTTGCGTCCATACTCCGCTGCGCGGCTCCCTGTCTGTCTGTCTGTCTGTCTCTGTATCTCTTCTCTACCTCTCCCTCTCTCTCTGTCTCTCTATTTCTCTCCCTCTCCCCCGCTCTCTCGCTCTCCCTCCTTCCCTCCCACTCGACGAAACAACACTCGAAACGTCCACCGCACGAGACAGCTTGAAGACGGCGAAATCAACTTGCAACTGTCCAAGAACTTCATGGCGTGCGCTCAGAGAGACATGAAAAATTCCATGGCTGCCAAGGTGCCAATCGCCAGTGGGCACCGGGCGTATTTGGAATTTGACACGAACCACAGATCGATGGGGACGAAGAAGTGACTGCCTTGGCCTAGTGGTTGTTAAATTGACATATTTGGGTAGCATAGGCTGTGTTCCTAGCACGAAATCGGTCGTCATAATGATTTCTCACATATCTCTTCACATCTCGCTGTCTGACGGTCTGTGTATGTGCTGTGTTTTGAACTAGCATCGACCGCGCCAAACCGGCTGACCAATGAAAAAGACTTCAGTCTCTGGCGGGGTAATAATCGCGAATACATCCACTTTCTGATGAAAGGGATACACCGTACAGGAGACTGTGTCTGTCCGTCCTTCTGTCCGTCCTGTCTGTGTGTCTGTTCCTGTCTCACTCTCCTCTTCGCTCTGCATGGCTTTCTCCGCCGGGTGCTCTGTTTTTTGTGTGCTGTGTTGCTGTTCTTGCCTTTTCGCTATGTTTTTTTTTTCCGAACATGTGCAGAGGCGCTCCGACCGACAGGCGGCGTCGGGGAGCGCCACTAGCAAGTCGGCTGCCACCGCTCTTGGTCCCGCTTCGGACAGCTCGCGACAAGGGGAATCACGACAAGAGTAGGTTGTGTTGTTGCACGCCGACGGCCGCACGACTCCGGAGTCCATCTCTGGGGAATGTGGCTACCGCTGATTCTTTTGAGGGTGGCGATGACGCGATGGGGATTGAGACATGGATGGCCGGGGAGATTGAGACATGAGTCGTCTGTGACGAGGGACGAGGGAAGGGAGGTTTGCAGGATCTTGATCTTGTAGGGTCTTTGGGTTGATGACTATTGTACATACCCCCAGCGAGCACGCGCGCTCAAGCCGGTCGGTTGGCCGGGCACGAGGAGGATGGCGAGAGAGTGGATAGTCGAGTCTGACAAGGGAAAGAAAAGTCCAAGTCTTGTTCCGAAGATGAAGAAGACAATGGACGACTTTCGGCGTTCCGTTGAAGGGGACGCGGTGGGAAGACCATGACTGGCAATGGTGTGCGGGAACTCCGTCTTGTGATTTGCCTCGTGATGACAGTAAGAAACGTTGAACTGGCGTCAGAACAACGAACCAAAAACAACGGCAACACGAGAAACTTGGTTTTCTCCATGAACGAGACCGTCTCCAAAATTTGGCTCAAAGGCATGTTGCAATGCGGGCAAGACGAGGTGTGCTTGTGTACGTTGTACTGTACGCCAATGGGATAACCGCCAAGGGCGGGTTCCGAGCTAAAGAACCCAGCCCGTTCCCACCCGCGGAACAAAAAAAAAATGACTTCGTAGATCGCCTTGAAACGCCCAAAAAAGACGTAAAAAAGAAAAGATAAAAAAAAAGTTCTCCTTCGGCCTGAACTCGGCCTGAAGTTGTTTTTTCTCCGCATTCTTGATGTTTGAGCTCTGAGAACTCGGCGGAAATCGCTTCCTCTTGGTCGAGTTACGGGGGGTAGAGCCACTCAGAAAGTTGTTCAGACAAAAACTGGTCGTGGAAAGCCGAGAATTCAAAATCCCAGGATATTTGAAATTGCTCAGCTAAAGTCAGCTTTTGGGCAGCTGTAAGTCGCTTGCAAAGAAAGCCAAACGGGGACATTCTGATGAGATACTCGTGTTGCCCACCCTAAAATTACCCCCACGTCGAAATCTACAGAGCTCTAGTCAACGTGAGGATCGCTTTCTGCGGGAGGGAATTTTTCAGTCTATTCCCTAGTAAATCCCAGGTTATGCCAGCTTGTTGCATGTATGTATCAATGCGCAGCTGTGTCAACGTCACATCGATTCCGATCAAAATTCTGACGATGGATTCGTGATCTACACCCCAAAATTACCTTGACCTGAAAATTTTACAAGATTCGGACGGGTTTGAATTTTCCTCGGGGGCCCCGCGGAGGCGATTTTCCCTCAATTTCCCCACTTGTTCGTGAGTAACTTAGCACCATGATGGCCAAATGAAAAAAAAGTATATTTTCGTGATCCCCGTGACCTACCGCAAACGTGTGCAAAATGTTAGAAATATCAGTATCAACCAGATAAAGTGTTATGGTATTTGGAGGTAGACATTACATGTGATCGTGGTTGATCATGGTTATTTTGGCACCGTCGGATGCTAAGACGTGACGTCATGCTAGATCAGGGCTTTATGCCGAGATGCCGAGACATACATACATACATGTGCCCTTCCTTCTGTTCAGTGTGTGCGTACAGGCGATCTATCTATGATCGTGTGTGCGTGGGATATTGTGAGTTGGCTTGGAAAGCGTTAATCAAGAGAAAGAGAACAAAGGAAAGCAACAACAACCTGCTATACTACACTGTGGTCGGACAAGAGAGTTCCACACAACAGACAGCTCAAAGGTGATTGATTCTGAAGGAAGGGGTCAAATACCATTATACAAAAGACTGCTGTTATTCGTATTCTCTTGAGTACAACACAGTAGTATACGATGTCACATTAGTACATCATGAGCGATTTCAGTAGCACCAAACTATACCAGTTTCAGTATACGTGATAAAGCACACTAAACACGGTATAATAAGCTATTAAGGAAGTAAGTTCAACTTGAAGAACGATATTGCGGGAAATATATCTAGAACGATCCACTGATGGATGCGGTAGATTCCGTAACGGTTCGTAGAATGTTTCCTGGATCGGGCATACTTTCCTAGAACGGTTCTCAGGAACGTTCTCAGGAAAAGTCCAGAGTAAGATTAGAAAGGTTCCCGGAACGTTTCCGGAACGGTGCTTTTGGTCTTATAGAACGGTATTTGGTTCCCAGAACGTTCCCGGAACGGTTCCGGACCGGTACACTAAGGTTCTTCGTAGTTTCGTCGGTAATCGACAAAAAACACGCTAACCAGGCAGAGCGCACGCCCCCCACCGGAGCTCACTCTGTTTCCTGCCCAGCTCAACAATACAAAAAATTTGTACAACATCTCTGTTTCTCATTTCTTTTTGAACCAAATACATACCATTTGGTTGTAGACTCACGTCTGTCTACAGTGCACCTCCGCACACACCTACCTGTCAACAAGGTGTGACACACGCCTCTGTTACCTTGCTTGCTCACTGCTGCTACCACCGCCGCCGTAGCACAGGTAGGTCACTTGATGAACAGATAGACTTCTGACTTGCGTCATCAGCCTATTATTATTATCTTGTTTTTCGTGAGGACCTCTTTTCAGCAGATCTGACGTTCGCTGAAAAGAACATACAAAGCAATCTTAGCAAAAAAACCACCAGGCAAGGAACAGTAACTGTTCTTGACTACACAGTCTTCGCAGACCCTCTGTTTTTCAACACAAAATTTCAGACTAGACATAGAAACTCATTCATTCCTGGCCGCATTCTGAAACACTCGTGAAAAATAACCGGCTTTTTTAGCGCGGAACCCGCCCAAGGAGTGTACTTCCGTGCTCCAAAGGTTGCTCGACAGGAACATATCATATATATATATAATATATAGTCTAAGAATGGACTCAACCATCTGACGTCGACCCGCAGAGAGACTTGAACGTATCTCCTTGTACTATTATTCTATTATTATGTTACTGTAGGTCTGTGATGTGATGTTGTGCACGGACGGACGGTGTTCTGAAGAAAAACCGAAGAGCAGCAAATAATGCAGAGTGGCGGCAGACAAAACGTACCCGATACACCTGGCTCGGACCTCACATACATGTATGTAGTATGCGTACCTCTTGTAGTCCCAGATGGACACTCACTGCAGATAGATCAGGTAGTAGGTGAACGTGTGTATCCAAAGTATAGACTAGTATCCATTGTCGGCGGCTCTTCATGTATGTGCTGAGAAAAAAACCCGTTCACCGCGGCTCTCTGTTCATTATTCATTCCCATCACCTTGAGAACATACACATGTGCTACAGCTGTATAGTACATTACATGTCAGCGCGCGCCTATGCGTATGTATGTACGACGACACAGCGTAGTACCTGGTACACAGCAGCAGTATTATATAAGTAGCGAGTTGAATCTGGTGTAGTGTGTTGTTGTTGTTGTTGTTGTTGTTGTTGTTGTTGTTGTTGTTGTCTTCACATTGAAAATAAACCGTTCCGATCTCCTCTCTCTACCCAGTACCTTCATATGTCCGTACTGACTGATCCAACACTTGACGCGGTCGATTCCCGTGGTCACAGCAGGCTAACTTACCCTAAAAAAGGTGCGCTCAACTGGCCCCGAGGGGTCCGCAAGTCAATAGAAGGTGTAAGGAATAATAAAAACACACACAGAAGACTATACCCATTCGAGATATACCCACAGTCGAACGGGATGTGGTGGAGTCTTTTCAGTGAGTGGAGGGAAACCGGCTGGGTACTGGACTTATTTCGAGTCTTTTTAAGTCTAACACTGATGATTTATACCAGTGATGCCAACTGGTGCTAAGTACAAAAACATCTGTATAGGTAACTTACATTTTACAATACATCCCCTGTAGTTCTCTACCGGGTCAACGACAAAATATCGGGGAGAATCCCTCCGTTGTGCCGCAGTCTGTCTGTTCTTCATCAATGTTGACCGCCCTCATGGGCTTTTGAGTGCACGGTATCTGCAGGTGCACTGTTAATTCTCTGCGCCGCGCTCCTGGAACTCTTAACGGGTGTAGCATACGGCTGCCGTAACAACAGAGATCTTTGTGTGTCATGTGCAAATAAATATGGCTGTGACCGGGCGGAACGAACCGTGGAAATGGCCCGGTTCGCTGAAACGGCACAGGATATGCCGCATGTGTGCTGCGGAACCGTGGTAGAAAATAACGGATGGTGGTGGGATCCATACGGGCGTGTGTGTCTGTTTTGGTTGGATCCCACGCATCATCTGCATCGGTACCCCGTCTGAACGCTACTACAAGCAGCACCTCTTGCGGCGGCATAGCAAGCACGGGGGGGTGGCTGGCATCTACTGCACTGCTGTGTCTGTCTCCTTCAGAGGCGCGCCACCGGCGGCAAAGAATGGGCGGTTGCCCGAGCACAGAGGAGGCCCCGTGCTCGTCTGACGGCGCCGTCGTCACCAGGCGAGAGCTATGGGCTTCTTCTACTCTTCAGCTTGGGGGTTGTCATCACAGGGTCCTAGACGAGCTCCTCTCGGGCGAGCGGCGCTTCATCGCAGATATGCACGTGAGAAAGGCTGGAAGTAGAAGTAGCGAGTACGCACGAGCAGTGGATTGTGTAAGGGCTCTGGTGACTGCTGCGCGGCAGCATCAGAGAGTCGTTTGGTTATGTCGTACGGAGTGGATCCGCGTGTGTTGCTGATTGGTGGCGCTTTTTCCGCTCTTTCGTCATTGTGTCGATAGTCTAAATAGCTTTTGAAGGACCCCTCTGGAGACGCGGGTGCTGGGATGTCGTTGAACAGCAGGCTATTGTCAAAAGCAGTGAGAGGATACGCCGTGTACATGTTTTGTTACTATTGCTGGCCTTCGAGACCGGCGAAGGGCTCTCCCAGCTCTCCCAAACAGCCGCTATTCTTGTAGCAGCGGGGGTAGCAGCTACCCCGCGCGTCTGAAAGACGCTAATGTATACAAGAGTCCTCGATCTTGTGCCTGTCCGTTATACCCACAAAAACAAAAAACTCAACGGTGGACGACTCGCTAGTCTACTACCCCATGAGGCACCTTGCAACCCACGCCTTTCCTTCGATGATAAATTCGAAAAAGTCGGCACCGTTGTATCTATGTACAGCACTATCAATTTTTTTTCTTTGGCGCTGCTGCCCCCGCTTGTCTCCCGGTGGATTCCGGTTGCCTGCGCCTTGTCTGGATCTGGTAGACGCTCATGGAAGTCTTCTACTGGCCGCTAGTGCGCTGGTTCGAGCAGCAAGACGCCGTCCGGGCGGCAGAGATGAGCTGCCCTGTGTCCAGAGCGGACGTCGATTCCGTGTTTTCCAACATCGACGAGCTTATTGTTTTCAGCAGGTAAGTAACAGCAGTTCTGCGTTCACGCTCGCTCGTGTTGCGGTGAGGACCTTGTTGAGTCGGTACAGCAGCAGTAGATCTGATGCAAAAACGTTTCACAAAGAGAGAGAGATTCCGCGGCTGTCTGTCTGTCTCTCGATGACGAGTATCCATACTCGATCAGTGACTGCTGTATTATTGTAGGTTCACGCAGCAGGTGAGAAGTCTTGGTTGAGTCGGTACAACATCTGACATCTGACGACCTATGCACAGATTGTAGAAGAGCGAGATGCAGCTGCTCCTGCTATCTCTGGATGATTGCCATAGTCATCGAGTTAATCCGCGGCTCCTAATAGATGCATGTAGACCAGATTGGTGCTTGTGTGCTACTTATGGCAAGAATGCATCGTGTATAGACTAGCGTTGTTGGACGCCTGATTAACCTGACGACATGACCAGGAGCTACCCACAGAGGCTATGTCGACCAGTCACACAGTTTTTGTGCCAGGCAGAAGGAAGAAGGAAGTACCAAAACGAAGAAATGGTGCAATTCAAGCTGAAAAATCACGATGGTTGTGCTGAAAGTGTTCGTGTTTCTTAATAAATGAGCGTCGTTTCAAAGGCAATGGGGGTACATATTGTATGCATTGTATGCATACGTTTGGAATCCCCTGAAGGTTGTGCGTGGCATCCTCAGGAAGGTGTCGTGCGGGCATTTCCGACAACACAAGAAGAAGTGCTCGAGTATCGGGCACAAAAACACGAATTCCATGGCAACGACTAGAATCACGCCACGACCTTGTCGATTAGACTACACCTACCTGTGGCTTTAGTGTGCCGGTCTCACCTTTTTACAACTTGGGCGGTATGCAGTACCACTTGCGTGGAGATGTCTCTGAGGCCGAAGTAAGCTAACGAGACATATATATATATGCGCCTATCACGTCGCGTGTGCGTTCAGGCAACTGCTACCTGTCCTTGAGAGAGCGCGCACGGCGAGATCGAAAGGCATGCTGGTTGTGTTCCTCCAACTCGCCACTTCTTCCAAGGTATGAACATGAAACACTCTTCTCCTTCTGCAGCAGCAGCAGCAGGTGTGCGTGTCTTTGTCCCGTCTATTCTGGGCACCAGTCTACAGCCTAGATGGAAGGAAACGCTATCAGTCTCCCCCCAATTCGCCACTGCTTCCAAGAGTATAAACTACTTCTTCTGCAGCGGCAGCAGCAGGCTTGTGCGTGTGTTCGTCCCATCTTTTCCCGGCGCCAGCCTACAGCCTATCCCTTCCGATAAGTATGGTTTACGCACCAGCCGCGGGGTGACACGGTGACACACACAGCAGGAGGAAGAACAAGGTACGTCTTCATCTTTTTTTCATCTCAATCATTCTGATGAACGTGGGCCTTTTTTTGTACGCTTTACGACTTTCGGTACAATTTCTGGACGCACCAGCCGGGGCCACACAGGACGGAGGAAAGCCACACACTGCTGTCGTGGAGATTTTTTTTCGTCCACCTTCGACCCGCGTGGCGCAGTTACCGTGTGCCTGCCCCATGTGGTGGTGGTTTTGTAGCACGCGGTCTTGCTGTTGGCTCGTATTTTTAGAGGCCAGCGGGGTGATGGCAGATTTCCACACGCAATGGTCTGCTCACTTCCTGTACAGCTGTCTACAGGTTTCGGAACTTCGTGTGTATGACCGATGGCAAAGCGTAAACGTGGTTGATGGTAACTTTGTTGATGGTGCATCAGTGGGGATGACGTGCGTCAGTCCAGTGTTGTGGGTGCGGGGGCTCCGTGACACGCAGGAGCATGTACGCCCCTCCGATATGTACGTTTTTCCCGCGGGATAAAGCCGTCCGCCAATTAAGTTGGCGGTGAAAGCGGTCTTGCTGCTTTTTGGCGTTTGGCTGTTTCGTCGTTGCTTCTTACATCATCAACAGCTCAGCTAGAAACGACCAGCGCAGGTGACCACTACCACTACCGAAAAGTACGCTTCGGAATCCATACGTTTTGTCTCCGTGTGACGAAAACGCCTCTCACACGAACATACCCATGCAAACCCCCCGCGTATGTGCGGTGCTCAAAGAAGTGTCCCCCGAGGTGCGGACACAATCCACAAAAATAAACAAAAAACGTTTTGAACCCAGCATCTCGCGAGTGGCCCTCCTCCCTCCCCCTAATGGGTGTGGCATCTTTGCTTTCGACCGTTGCCTCTTTGCTGTGTGTTGCCTCCGTTGTGTCTTGCGTGGCCTATCAAAGACTTGGCCTTTCAAAGACCGCGGTCCTCTAGTTAGTGTAGTGCGTGGAGACGTTTTCGGGGCGCGTGCCTCGACCTCGACACTTGAAAGTTGTAACGCCGTCGAAGCACGTCCTTCACCCTCTGTGCGCACAACTTTCCACGCCAACACACTATCATCACCACCACTCACGACAACAACACCAATACCACCACCACCGCCGCCACCAACAACGACGACGACGACAGGTGTTTGATGTGTACGTAGCAGGGTGGCCGGAGGGCATGGACAGCTTGACGAAAATGGAGGCGGACCCGCCGCTGGCCATGTTCATTAGGGCGTGCGAGCTCCAGGAGAGGTGCGGCGGCTTCCGGCTGTGGGACTTCCTCGCCATGCCGTTACAGGTGATCCTGACTTTGATTCTCGCGTGTTCGGTGTACGTAGTGAGCTATTTTTCATGCTGCGGGGCATTCTTGGACTCCCCTCGGGGTGAGGTTGGCAGACTCCGACACTGACAACTGGCTAGTAACCTCTAGAGTTTTCCACACTGCATACCACTCCGGTCTCCGGTCTCTCTCTCTCTCTCTCTCTCTCTCTCTCTCTCTCTCTCTCTCTCAAAGCCCCCCCGAAGGTGCGAAGCAGCTCACGTTTGCCTAGGTGTGAAAACTGTACCGAGTAGTCGTGAAACTGAACACACCAAAGCATCAATTTCAACTCAAATAGGAGTTGTTGTTGCGCGAAACCCACCAACTTGCTCCCACCATCATCGTCGCTTCTTCCTTCACCACACTCTCCCAGTTCCCCTCCTCCAATTCCAGCCCCGCACCCTACGGTACAATAAGAAGATGTTTCTCGGTCGCCTTCGCGTTTTGTTGCTGTCCGCCGTCCCCCTCTCCGCCGCATCCTACCGCAGCGACTTACTCAGTACCGCCTCCTCGTGGAGTCCACGTCGGAGAGCTGCCCCGTTCACCTGGCGGTGCTGCACCGCGAGCTGGCGCGGAGCTTGACGCTCCCGCCCGCGGTGAGCGAACAGATGATGACGTCGGCCGAAGGCGGCGGCGGAGCCGCCGGCGCTGCTGCCGTTGCTGCCGGGGATGGCCCAGGCCCTGGCCCCGGCCCCCGCGGTATTGGCCTCGAGAGAAAGGCCCTCAGCGAACGCACTTGCCGCTCCAGCCCTACACAGCAGGTGCGACTGAAACGGTTGGTTCGGGTGTGCGGGCAAAGGGAAGTGTCAGCAAATAGCACTGGTGTTGTGCTCTCCTTTCGCCCCTCCTCTTCTTGTTCCATTCATCGCTCCCGCAAAACTTGCGCGCCAAAACCGACCCGCGCAATGATTTTACGCGGCCGCGTTTTGGGGGCAGATGGTGGTACCGGCAGCGCGGAGTCAACGCCAGCTGGTAGGGGCCCCGTCGCACGATGGGGTGCTGCTGGCACGCCACAAGATCAAGGAAGGGCGCCTCACGAAGGTGATGCGATTGGTGCCGCCATGTGGTGGTGTAGCTGCTGCAGTGTCTCGATGCTTGTGACAGCCTCACATACCTCCAATCAGCTTATATTTCCATTGTTTCGGCTTCAGGCACGGCAAGGCCCATGGCATGACGCCTGGCCGGAAATCCTTAGTGGCGCTTGGTGCCTCGTACCGTGCCTCTCTCCCTTTCTTGCTCGTAATGAAGAAGGAAACACGACATATATAGTAACAGCGAAACTGTTCCTTCCTACAGGCGTAGACTACTGTACTCCTCGTGCTTGACCACCCGTGCACTAAATACACCGCGGTGGATGGGTCGGGGCAACACCACGGAATAAATCAAACTGAAATTAGACAGCTCAACAAACCGAACCCGAAACAAAAAACGTGTTAGTAAACAACGTCGCGGTATCGTCAGGTTTGCCGCGACGGGCCTCGATACATTCGGTTCGTCCTCTTCCCCGACGAGCTCTTCCACTCGTCGCTCGAGACCATGAGCGCTGCGAGCTTCGGCGGGGGGGGGCTTGGTCTTTGCGGCGGTGTGGCCGGGGGGGGCTCGTCCATGGAGCGTCGCGGGTACGACCAGTGTCAGCTGCAGCAACAGCAGCGGCAGCAGCACGGCAGTCACAGAGGGATCGGTTCGATCCCGTTAAGGTGATATTTGTGGGGGCAAGCGCGTGTGTTTTTTGGTATTGCCCTTTGACAACCAGCAGTTCGTCGGGGGTAAATGGCTGCCTTCTCGTCTGTAGTCGGTCCTAGCATATACCACCAGCTTTCAATCGCTTTGGCGTCTGTCTCTGATGAGAGCAAGGTGTACAAAACAGCTGGTACATGCATTGATCTTGTTTTCTAGGCTAGCCAAGGCTTTGTCAGATCTCCGATCAGAAACGTGCGCTGTTACTCTATCTATTCGATCAAGCGCCGGCAGTCACGCCGCCGCACACAGGTAAGTGCTTCCGCCTACTTGTATGTGCTGCTAACACACTATCGTCTTTCAAGTATTTCTGCCGCCGGTCACCGTACCAGCAACACCTCATACGCCGTCTGTTTATATTGTAACACCTGCCCCGCCGTGATAGCATCAGCCGTTCGGTAACGCCCCCCCCCCCGATGGTGGGCACAAGAGGCCCTAGAGGACGGGGATAAGATGTGCAAGAAATTGTTATGGAGTGTGTGGCAGAAACGTAAAGAGCTCCCAAATGTTGGTGGTGTCTCTAGTAAGTGTAGGAACGGTGCTCCGTCTCGAAAGGGACGCGTGGTCAATGGTCAAATGACTACCGCAAGCAACAAATGAGTACGCCCCCCCCCCCCCCCCCCCCCCCCC